CAACTCCTACTCTTTCATTGCAAATCATTCTTTAATTATTCATAGCTTTTGAGAGCCATTTTTGTGAAGCTTGTGTCGTGTTCTTGAGCGTTCTTAGTTTACTCAATATCCACTCTAAAAAGAGAGTATTGTTCTTGAGTGTTTTTAGTGTTCTTAGACACTTGACAAGAGAAGGTATTTCTCTTGTTGTTCGAAGGAAGGGTTGTTTCCTTCGAAGGTTCGTTGAGGTTCGTGTGACTCGAACTCTCAAGTTGTACGAGTTTGTTAAGCACCGTTAAGCTTAACGAGATAGTAGTGTAGCTCGAGAGAGTCTCTCGGGAGGCTGAATTAGCCACAAGTTGTGGTGAACCAGGGTAAAATCGGTGTGCCTCTTTCTTTTCTCTTTACTTCTCACTTATTCATTTTTATTCCCGCGATTTCTTGATCAAACGCTATTCACCCCCCCTCTAGCGTTGGTCTATTATTCTAACATGGGCTACCCGTTCACCTAGGACAGATGTCGTGGGAAGCCGACGTGGGTGGAAGAAAGGCTGGATCGTGCCGTGGCCACAGTGGAGTGGAGAAACCTTTTTCCAGAAGCCTATGTTAGTAACCAAGCTATGCGGTGGTCGGACCATAGTGCTCTCTTTTTGAGCATTAGTGGACTACAGGTTCGACGCGCTCCTCGCAGCTTCCGTTTCGAGAATGCTTGGCTTTTGGACGATGGGTACAAGGGGGTGATCACGGCGGCTTGGAACTCCTCGGGCCACCTACCCTTTCCAGAGAGGCTTAAGGTGTGTGGCTCTCAGTTGGTTAGATGGGGCGGTGATAAGTTTAACAAGTTTGGGAGACGCATTTTGGAGGCCCGTAGGCGGGTAGACAAATGGAGGGGTAGCCGAGATCCCATTGGTCTAAAAAATTTTAATGATGCTGATGCTGATTTGGCCAGGTTGCTCGACCAGGAAGATGTGTATTGGAGGCAACGGGCGAAGCAACACTGGCTACGTACGGCGGACGCTAATACACGTTTTTTTCACCAATATGCTTCACACCGAAAGAAGAAAAACAGGATTATGAGGCTTAAGGATGAGCATGGACAGTGGAAAGAAGGTGATCAGCTTCTGCGAGTGGTCTCTCACTATTTTAAAAACATTTTCCAAACTGCAGGTATTGGTCCCTCTACTGCTTTTGATGGTTTTCGGACGAGGGTTTCCCGAGCCCAGAATGACTCCCTTGTTCAGCCTTTCACTGATGAGGAAGTGCGTGCTGCTCTTTTTGCCATGCACCCGGATAAGTCTCCTGGTCCAGATGGTATGAACCCTGCTTTCTTTCAGAGATCATGGAACCTTGTAGGCCCGGATGTTTGCAAGTTTGTCTTATCTTGTCTCAATGGTAAATTCCTCCCGGGTAATATAAATGATGCCAATATTGTTCTTATTCCTAAGAAGCAGTCTCCAGAATCTGTGTTTGACTTGCGTCCCATTGCCCTCTGTAATGTCATTTACAAGATTGTTGCAAAAGTTTTGGCTAAGAGGCTGAAAACAGTACTTCAGGATATCATCTCTGACTCCCAGTCTCCCTTTCTTCCAGGGAGACTAATTTCGGACAACATTTTCTTGGCAGCTGAATTGGGCCACTTCCTTCGACGAAAACGAAGAGGAGCTACAGGATGGGTTGGTCTCAAACTTGATATGGCCAAAGCTTATGACAGAATGGAATGGAGCTTCTTAAAACTTATGATGGTCAAACTGGGGTTCGATAATCAATGGATCAAACTCATCATGATGTGTGTCACTACTGTCAGATATAGAGTGCAGGTCAATGGTGACTTTACAGACTTCATTATTCCCTCTAGGGGTCTTCGACAGGGGGATCCATTAAGCCCCTATCTCTTTATTTTATGTGCTGAAGGGCTATCCTTTCTCTTCCAGGAGGCGAAACAGAGGGGAACAATGCATGGTATTCGAGTGTCATGTGGTGCTCCTCCCATCAATCACCTTCTCTTTGCCGATGATAGCCTAATTCTTTTCAAAGCCACAATGGAGGAAGCAGGGGAGGTGCTTCGGATACTTTCTGAGTATGAACGTCTCTCTGGCCAGGTTGTTAATTTTCATAAATCCAGTATTTGTTTCAGCAAGAATACTCATTTTCAAGCCCGCAACTGGCTCACAAGTTTTTTTGGGGTGGTTGAAGCGGAGGACTTTGGGAAGTATCTTGGGTTGCCTTTTTTCATTGGGCGCAATAAAACAGCTGTTTTTTCATATATTTTGGATAAGATCCGTCAAAAACTTTCACTATGGAAGAGGAAGACGCTTTCTAAGGCAGGTAAGGAGGTTTTACTCAAGACGATTGCACAGTCGATGCCCCAAATTGCCATGAGTGTTTTCCTTCTCCCCTAATCTACTTGCATTGATATTGAGAGGTTAATGAATGGCTTTTGGTGGGACGGTAAGGGAACTAACAATCATGGAATTCGTTGGATGTCGTGGGAACGAATGACTTTCCCAAAGAAGTTTGGGGGATTGGGCTTTCGGAATATTCGGATGTTCAATGTTGCTATGTTGGGTAAACAAGGCTGGCGCTTTCTGACCAAACCCAGCTCGCTAGTGGCAAGAGTTTTCAAGGCCCGATACTTTCCTAACAACTCGTTTTTGGAGGCCGAATTGGGGAGACAGCCCAGCTACTGTTGGAAAAGTATTCTTTCAGCCCAAGAAATTCTTCGAAGCGGTATTCGACGTCGTATTGGCGATGGACGAGAGACACATCTTTGGGGTACTCCCTGGCTCCTTGAAGAAGTTAATCCCTATCCAAGCATGGCCAGACGCGTGGAGAATGAAGACCCCTTAGTGGCTGATTTTATTGACTTTGATTTAAATTCTTGGAATGTAGCAAAGCTGGAATAATACTT